TTTAAATCCATATTCCTAACATAAAACTAAATATTACAAATCTGACTGTAGATGAAACTTCTAAAACTCTCTAAGTGTCATTTATGGGCAAAATTTTAATAAGCCCCTGGTATAAACAGTATTTTGAAAAAAGCTCACTTAAAAAGAAAAACATTATGTTCCAAATATGTGTAACAAGTAGTCTGAATGAGGTAACAGTCATTTTTCTAAAATGTAGCAACAGACTATACATAGTGTAAAATGAGATTTAATCTAACTTTCCTGTAATTGCTTTTCTCTAATTTGTTAGCACAGACTTTAACCTGGTTTAGAGTTCAATGTGATCACAATAGATGGATTTACTTCCTTCCCTAAGGTAACTTTTTATTATACTGGATACCTCAGAACATTAAACAAAATGTTAAATATCAATTTCATACAAATTACTAGTATTACACCTGTAATCAAAGGTTACATTACTGACACTGGTCTAAATTAATTTCATGCATGAAAGAAGGATATTGTGATGAATTTTATATTATAGAATATGTGAAGAATATGTTATTGCAGTATTTGATTTAGAATTTGTTCTTCCAGTATTTATTTTAGGTAAAAGTAGACTAAATAAGGCACAAAAACTTTCCCTTAATTCAAAATGCATATACATATTTTAAAAATAACTAGGTTCAGTAAGACTAGATTAGCTCATCAATTTAGATGTAAAAGTACAGTAAAAGAGTATATATTTAAATAAGCAAATAAATTATAAGTATTGACAAAAGTTTCAAGTCAGAAGAATATTCCTGATCCACCTTTAAACTCTGTATTTTCAAAGGATTTAAAAATATTAATGACTAAAGTTTGACACTGTGGATAAGTACATAGACTCTTCCACTCTGTAGTTTAAGAAATGATTAAAACACTGAAAATCATTGCAGTCTCCCAGTGAGGGTTGTTTCAGCAAGTACTGAAATCAATTAGGCTATTCTTATGCGTAAAATTCAGTATAATTTTAATTATTTTGACGTGATGGATCTTGTAGATGCAGTAGGATTGTGTCAATATCTTGTGAAACCACAACCCCTGCTTCTGAATACAAGAAGTCTGCCTCCACAGGGTAGTTTCAATGACAAGAAAAAAAGGGACAGTAGTTTTGATATGCATTTTGGTATGCCCCAAGACATTATTACAGCATAGCTTAATGGTTCAGCCATCAAATCTTCTGTCCAAGATCAGCAGAAAAAAGGGTCAATAATGTCTTCTGGTCTTTCACAGCTAATGAAGTGTAGCACCCTGAATTAATGGTTCTGGTACCATGTAATTCATATAATCTGGGATTGTTGCTTCAACCAGGAGTACCAGAAATGATATTTCACTACATTATGATAATTTGAATAGGTGCTTGCAACTGGAAATAATAAACAAGGAGTTCTAAGACTACAGTTCTGAAATCTGAAATGGATTTCCCATGTATTCCAGTGGCCCATCTGAAACATTAATATAATAACATTATTATAGTTTTTTTCATACATTTAAATGACTAACTAGTTGAAAGTTTGTTACCTTTTCTCCATAACACTTTCACAATGAAGTGTTAAAGTAATTAATATTGTGACTCCACTTTTAACACTCAACAATAATTCCAATTTATCACCATTTTGTTACCATTTAAACACCACTGTACTGTTCATACTGATTATTTAAATTAATTCCAAGTACTTAAGACATAATTTTCCCACTAACAGTTATATTTTTATTTTGTCCCAGAGGCAAATTGATGGTATTTCCAATCTCCAACAAGGTAACTGCATGAAGAAAAGAGTAACTATAGCAATTGAAATCTATGTCCTTGATGGTGTGCTGTAGAAGAGTTTGTCTTACATTTTGTAGTAGTAAAGTGATGATTTCCACATAATATTTTATTCTCACACATTTAAGACACTGAAACATTAAGGACTTAATTACCTCTTTTTTGGAAGTTGTTGTGATTTAACCCTGGTATGCAGTTGATCACCACACAGCTGCTTATACAGTCCCCTCTCCAGGATGGGAAAGAGAATATGAAGGGTAAAAGTGAGACAACACATGGGTTAAGGTAAAGCCATTTTAAGAGGTTAAAGCAAAAACTGTACATGCCAGCAAAGCAAAATAAGAAATTCGTTCACTACTTCCAATCAGCAGGCATATTTAGCCATTTCCAGGCAAAGCAAGGCTTCATCGTATGTAACAGTTACTTGAGAAGACAGATGCCACAACCTCAGCTGTCCCCCACTTCCTCCATCTTCCCCCCCTAGCTTTTACTGATGAGCACATCATATAGTATGGAGTTTGGGTCAACAGACTTTGGTCAGTTGGGGTCACCTCTCCTGCTTGTGTCCCCTCCCAACGTCCTGGCTAGTCCCAAATTCTTTTTGTCTCATTACAGGGGGAGCATGAGAAACAGAAAAGTCCTTGATGCTGTGCAAGCACTGTTCAGCAATAACTAAAACACTGGCGTATCATCAATGTTCTTTTCGTCACATATCCAAAACTCAGCATCATACCTGCTACTATGAAGAAAAGTAACTAACCCAGCCAAAACCCCTGATGAAGCTCCATGACAGACAACAAAGTATCTTCAAAATCCACAGTAACTGCGTTGCATTAAGTAGGTGTGTTTGAGTAATAAACACAGGAAAAACATAGGTAACCAAAGATGAACTTTCTGCTTTACATGTTTTCACCACTGTGTAAAATGAACATTAGGTTTCTGAAACTTGCCTAACAAGAATATTATAAGTGCCCCACTATGTGTTGGTTTCTCCTTTCACATATAGTTTCCAAAATAGTTCAATTTTCACCTGTATTTTTTATGGACCTGCAATGATTGATACCTCTGTGGGGCAAATGAGGCGTGGAGAATTTTGACTTTGGCTGCTTCCTAGATTTAAATACATAGCATTCTTCACAGGACATCTGAGATCACCATCTTATTACCGCAAATATAAATACAAAGGTAGGTAAAGAATTTTATAAAAGGTATATTCAGTACTGCGTAATTTAAATTCTTTTTTTTTTTTATTTTTTCCCCTCATTTTTTTAATGTAAATCCCAGGCTTAACCTTAACTAAATCTATCATTTCTTCCCTGTTTGCACTACAGTATCTGAATTAAAATATTATCCATCCTGCTACAAGAAGGACAGGTTAATAGCTTCTCATGTAGTACTAAGATGACAGGTTAACAACTACTTGCATAGTCAACATGAATTCTGCACCAGGCAATACAGCACAAAACAGAAGTGGAACATTTTCTGGATATTAAGCTTAATTCTTCACTGCATCAACCTCAATTTTCTATGCCTCACTGACAAAATAGGGTCTTCCAGCTGGTAGCATAATGAGCTGGACTAGACCAATTTCACATCAAAATTGACTGTAAATTAAGATTTGAATTCTAAAGGTGTATAGCATGGATCTTTCTTTCTTTCTTGATCAGAGATACTTTAAACATTTGAAAAGATGTTAGCACTGTGGATTCTTCTTTTTACTCATTTAATAGGCAGTTTTGACAATTCATACCATTTGCTGTTTTACACATCAGATAAAATAGAATCAAGGGAAATGTTTTCAATTCAGAGGCAAAACCTGACCTAGCTGTATCAAAATCCTGATTTTACTTCATTTTTAAATTGTACTATCACCTTGGGACTCTATATTAAACTAAAGATGTTACTGACAAATCTGGACAGATGGTCAATATACATATTTTGGCAGAATCTTAGATGGACTTGGCCCTCTGAAAGAGTTACTGATAAATGTAAAAAAACCCAGAATTTTTTCCTTGTGCACCTTCTGCTATTGTATTATAGCAACATCTTTCAGAATTCTTATATAAAATAAAACAAAATAGGTCAGGTTCTGAATGCTTTGGTTTTGTTTAAAAAAAAATTATTATTATTATTATTATTATTATTATTATTATTATTATTATTATTATTATTATTATTATTATTATTATTATTATTATTATTATTATTAACATTAGCATTAGCATTAGCATTAGCATTAGCATTATTATTAGCATTATAATATTTCAAGTATCAAGAAGAACTGTAAATTTGCTACAAATTATTCAGAATATTTTTCATTTTCAGTAGCACATTATTACAGAATAAATTGCGATGATAACAGATTCACATGAGTTATGAAGTTAACCTTTATTTTCAAATGTCTAACTCCACTGATGTTGTTTGTCATTAATTTTTGCTACATAATTGAGTTCTAAAGGGATTCCTAAATATGTAAAACTTTTATATTTTGATCAATAAAGAATACTTCTGTTCTATCTTCTTCCCCTGAATTGCACAGAATCTGTAACATTGGTAAATTAAGAGCCCTCTGTTTAAGCATAAGTTGAAGCAAAGCAACAAGCATGTGAATGCTGTAAATTGTGTAGTTCTGTATGTCTTTGAATAATTAAGATTCTTAGACATCAGTCTCAGTATGTAGCATGTCACTTCAATCAGAGTTAAGAAATATGAGAAGATAGTAAAACACTGAAATGGTTTAGAGAATATCGTTCATTGTTAGTGTCCTGGATTTGAGTGAGTGGTGAGGTTTTTGGTAGTGGTGCAGGGGGCTATAGCTGTGGTCGCCTGTAAGAAGCTTCTCAAAGCTCCCACAGCCCCAAGTTGGACCCACCTCTGCACCAAGGCCAAGCCAATCTGCTGTGGCTCTGCAATAAAATATTTAAGAAGGGATCTGGGAGGAGGAGTCAGACTTGTGAGGAGGAGTAGCAACATCTGTATTAACACCAAGGTCAGTGGAGGAACAAGGAAGAAAGGAGGGAGGAGGTGTGCCGGAGCAGAGATCTCATTATATCCTATGATGAGATGACAGGATGGCCCCCCCTGACACACATGGAGGTCTACAGTGGAGCAGATGCTAACCTGTGGTCTGTGGGGGGCCCCACACTGTTTCAGGTGATGGTACCCAAAGCAATCTGGGACCCTGTGGAAAGAAGCAGCCCCCACTGTTGAGTTTGGTGCTGAGAGGATTGCAGAATGTGGGGGTGTCCCAAACTAAAGCAGCTTGGGAAGGGCTGTAGCCTGTGAGAGGGACTCAAGTTGGAGAAAAGTTGTGGAGGACTGTCTGCTGTGAGAAGGGGGCCACGCTGGAGCAGTGGGAAGAAGTTCCAGAAGCTCCCCCAACTGAAGATGGAAGAAACGGCAGCACTGACTGCACCTCCCATTCCCTGCCCCTGTGCTGCTATGGGAAGGAGGTAGAGATATTGGGAGCAGACCTCAGCCCGAGAAGAAGGGAGGGGTGGAAGGAAGGTGTTTTCAAGATGTGGTAACATTTCTCACTGTCCCCCCATTGTCTGCTAAGTGTTGCTGTTGTTAATGTCTGTATTAAATCTATGTTCTTTATTTTCTTCCTCTACCAATTCTGCTTTTTCCTGTGACCATAATGGGTCATTTGACTCTTCCTGTCCTTATCTTGATCCCTGAGCCTTTTTAGCTTCATTTTCTCCTTTTCAGCGCTGTGGAGAAGGGGGAATGAGCAGCTGCGTGGTGTTCGGTCACCCTCTGAGCTCAAACAACAACAGAAAGACTAAAGTGCTCTAGAACCACAGATACAAAATCCTGACACACATTTCCTATTATTCAATAGAATCAGAAAAAAAAAAAAAAAAAAAAAAAAAAAAGAAAGAAACAAAAAACAGTGGGTCTAGAGATCATCTATACTGTAAGAAAGTAATAGAAATTTTTGTATAAATAATAATGATAAAGAGAAATGTGTTGTGGGTATTTTTGTTGGATTTTTTTTTTTTTTGGTATAATATTGATATATATGTAGTAAAAATCCCCAAAGCAGTTCTGATGGACAGATTCTCACAAGTGTTGAAATCCTGTAGCTGTAAGATTATTTAACAACCATGTATGGAAAAGGGTAAACAGTCTAATGTTTCAGTATATACCATGACAAGAAAGATTTTTCTATATTCCAGAAGAATTATCTAGATGAAATGTAATGATTTAAAGTATTAGTTTAACTGATTGATTTAAATACAATTAAATATTTCAGCCTATGAAGAATATGAAGATGATCTCCAGATAATTATAGACAAGAAAAATATATTTTAGATATTTTTGTGTTTGATTAATTTAATTATTGTTTTCAGTTAAAATAGTTTTCATTTGAGAACAAATTCTAGGTAGTATATCATATCTGAATTAGACCTGTGAATTTAAATTTTTTTTATTTAACAAAGGACATATTGTAGCCACATATACTCACTTAGTTCAACATTATCCAGCTCTTCTTTGTTTTTGTTTTTGTTTTTTTTTTTTTTTTTTGTTGTTGTTGGTTTTTTGTTGTTGTTGTTGGGGTTTTTTTGTTTGTTTTTTTTTTTTTTTTTTTTTCCCTCCAGGATATTAATAGTATATTCATTTTCAGATTATTTTTTGGGGAAATAATATCCAACATAACTTGCAACGGAGGCAACCTGATTTAAATAAACAAAGATTCTTAATCTCTCAATAATAAAGCTAAGAACAAGCTACAAAAATTCCTTTAAGTATTCCCACACCATTGTGGGGAGAATTAATTGAGATAATGTTATCTGGCCTCTCCATCATCCAATATTTCTTGCCCTTCATTTTTCACCCTACCTAAGATCCAGTTCAAGAAAACACATGAAAGCGCACTTTCATTTTCTCGTTCAAATTTATTTCAGAGAAAAAAAGAAAAACAAAACCATAACTGAACCTGTTGTCATCAATAAACTTCACAGATGCTTTAGGTAGACCATATATAATAACTAAAAAAGCTGAAAGACTACATAACAAATGAGCTCTGCCTATTTACTTCCACTGCCAACATATTTATTATCAGGTTACTCTCTACAGTTCTATATTATCATTAAATTATTCCTAAATGAAAACATGTATTTCACATATAACGGATGCAACTTCCCTTTGCTGCTAGTACTGTTGATCAGAGATCAAGTAATAAGAAAGTTCACAGAATCACATTATTGATGAAGTTGTTATCTATTCCATCACCGCTGCTCAAGTAGATTCAACTACAGGACACTACCCAGGACCAGAAGAAAAGGGAAAGAAAAAGACCACCACTGTTTCCAGGAAAGACCCTGCACCCTTAACTGACACATGTACAAGAATTAAAAAAAAAAAAACCAAAAAAAAAAAAACAGAAACCGTAAGTGATGGGAAATATTATATCCTAGCTCTTTGCAACCTCTCCTATTCCATTCACTCTTAACTAATTCTGATTTTACTTCTCTATGTTCTTTTCTCTATATTTAAGAATGTAAACCAGTTTAAATAATTCCTTCAAGTCCTCCTGCACTTTTATGTGAAAAACTGAATATTAGGAAACCTTTTATTACTTTATTCACATAATAAACAAACATATCACTTTGCTCATAACTGTTCATCTTGTGCCTCTGCAGATGGTCCAATTGTAATTTCTGTGTTAAAAACTGGCATATTTTTCCTCCTCAGAAGACTTCCAGTAGTAGTGGACAATTGATAGTATTTGGGTACAAGTCAAAGTTGTATTATGAACCCAGAACAAAACAAAATATACTGTTGGAAATTATTCACCTTAAGAAAAATATTTAAGCACTTGAAGTGAATTTAACTTGCATTCATTCTTGCAAATAGCATTTGGCTTTCATTTTAGTTTATAGGCTTGCACCAAACAGCTTTTAGGAAAGCTTAAGGACAATATTGAGTCATTTAGAATCTGATTCTTTTTTCTCTTTTCCTTTATTTGTGGAATCAGCCAAAGTCTTGTTCACATGATTTATTTATCCAACCTATATTAGTTGTGCAGGTGTATTATTAAAAAATCTACTTTTCATCCCTGACTTATCACTCCTGATAACTCAGCTACAAAACCTGTCAAAGTGATCTGAAGATGTGCCAAAATCTTGCCACAAGACTGCTTAGACTAACACAGACCCATGTTTCAGCCTGAGATGACATAGAGACTTCCTCATCACTCAGAAAAATTCAGCATAAACTGTTAAAATCTTATTTTGCTGATAGTTTCAGGTATAGATAATGTTTTCCTGCTGATGCACACAGTATTTTTAGGGGTACTTATTTATCTTACTGAAGTGAAACTGCTGTTGATATAAAAAGTTTTGATTCAAAAACAGGACTAGATGATCTGAAACTAGGATGACTTCACTGTCTTACCAAATATACATATTTCAATAAAGTCTATAATGTATTTCCCATGTGTATGTAGAAGGTGGTGGAGTTCAATTCCTAGACCTGTTGTACTCATATTCTGAAATACAGTAACTTCCCTTAAAAAGAGAGAAAGAGAAAACATGCACCAAGATTTCATCTCCCACCACAAAGAACAGCATCTTGCTAGCAAATTGTTCATTTCAGGTGGTGCAGTGGGTAAAGTAATTACCAATGGGTAATAATCAGATATCAAACTACTTAAAGTTTATTGCATTTTGGTATATTTATATACAATATGTGTTCAGTAGCAAAGATCCGTAGTGTCCTCACCGCTCTTTTTTGTGGCTTTGATGTTATAAAGCAATAACTCTTGCTATGACACTGCCTTCTGACATACAAGTTTTTTGAGTTACTGCTTAAGGAAAAAGAGCATATGTCTTGTTCAAAACTATTCTTCTGCATAGAATACTAACAAAACCAATAGCATAATCATGCTATTTGCTCACCTCTTTGCTTTTACCTACACAGCTCTAGCATTAGATTACTATTACTGTGAGGTAGTTTTACTACAGCTGTTACATGTTGTTGCTACAGGATGCATTGTACCCTTATTCGAGTAAGGTGACAAAAGAATACTTAGCAAATAATTTGAACCTTTGGAGTTACATAAAAAAAAGTATGAAAAAATAGAAATAAACAAAAATGTACTATACCAAGAGGGACTCTATTTTTGTCTGATTTTGTCTTCAACTATAACTATTATGTCAATTCTAAAAACAGAGTTATGAACCTCATGCATAGAGTTACAGAATTATATATTTCTATATTTATTTTGTGATATCCTCCATAAAATAATAAAAAAATATAAAGCTAACTCCCCCTAAAATCTGGTCAATATCTGAACAAAATATTAGTTCAAATATTAGTGCAATAACAATAATATTTCTGCTAGTGAGTTAAAATTTCAATGAGAATGGCTCTGCTACAGATAAATTTGTCCTTGTTCATTCCCATAAAACAAATGAAATCAGATCAAGCACATTTAAAAACTGACTCTCATGATTTAAACCCAGCTGGCAGACAAACACCACGCAGCTGCTCACTCATCCTGCCCCCACCTGGGGGATGATGAAGGGAACTGAAGCAGTAAAGAAATGTTTGTAGGTTAAGATAAAAATAGTTTAATAATTGAAATAAAATAAAACAATAACAATAATAGCAAGTACAAATGGGTAACACACAATGCGATAGCTCACTACTCGCCAGTTGATACCTAGACCATTGCCAGCTAGCAAATCCTGAAATACCAAGATCCCACAACTGCAATCCCGGCAGTGAGAAGGAAACCCCTCCCTCCTGGCTTCTCCTCCTCTATATACTGAGTATGACCTTACATGATATGGAATATCTCATTGCACAATTTGGGTCCAGTGCTCTGGTCGTGATCCCTCCCAGCTTCTTGTGCACCTGAACACAGACAGGACATGGGGAGTTGGAGAGTCCTTGATTTCTCAGCAACAACTGAAAATATCAGCATTCTTCTCATACTAAATTCCATACTGAATCCAAAACACAGCACTATTTTAGCCACTGAGAAGACAAACTCTATCCCAGATGAAACCAGGACACTGCTTCATGTTTAAAAGAGCTTTTTTTAATCATACTTTGGGAAAACATGATGCAGCTTCAGAAATATTTTTGTTGCATTATTCTCAGACAAAACTAGAGCCCCGAGCTTAGCTCCAATTTTTCCCTGAATGTAGGAGAATGGCTCAGAGACAAGGGTCATGAGTCCACTGAGCAGTTGTACAATCAGAGCCTGTTCTAGGGGCTGATGCTGGGCCCTGCTGATGCTGGGCCTCACTAGGGCTTGCCGGCAGCTGCTCGCAGCTGCTGATACATGAAGGATGTCAAGGATGCTTCTGC